AATAAAAAAGATAATAAGATCTCGAATGGGTACTAGCAAGCGCAGCAAAGATGTTAAACAGCGCATCGAAACTAAAAACAGATTAGAATGTTCTTCGGACAATTACGAACAAATTCCCGAATTCTCCACCAAGGATTCTCAAGTCTTACCTGAAACTATACTTGTTAATGAAAAAATCAAATTCATAACGAACCACGTTCAGCAAAACAACATAGATGGCAATGAAGACGAAACTAAAATAGACGAAACCTCTCCCAAAGGGTCCCACAAAAAATACGTTTCCTCTATTCATCTTCGATACTACTGAAATTGCAATCCCGCTAATGGATGAATTTAATAGTCTCTGGTAAGAAAATCCCCGAATGTGTTATTAGTGTTCCCTCCCACTGCCAACGTTCATAGAATAATAAGGAGAAAAATTGAAGAAATGCAATTAAAGAAACATCCAGCTGAACTACATGAGGGACAATTTAAAGTCATTATCCGAGGCCTCCCTGTAGACTTCTTAACTACGTACGTGGAAGATCAACTCCAAAATCAAGGTTTCTATCATAAATTCATCATCAAACTAAAAAATCATGAGAGTAAAAGCAAAATGCTGATCTTCCCGATCGTCCTACCTAATTCAACCTAGTCAAAGCATTTAGAGATGAGGCCAGAAGCATCGATCCATTACAAGCCTCAAACGGGGAATGCTACGACTTGTAATAGGTGGACGCTTTACGCCTCGTCGCTCAATGCGTAGCTGTGAATGAAGCTTAAATCTGAGGAAACTGAGAAAACCCTCAACATAGATATTATCTATTATTTCAGAGTTAAGGTAGAACTCTACGAAAGAAACTGGGCCCTGGTCAGTGTTTTAACTGTCAACAGCACTACCATCACTCAAAATCCGGAACACGCGAACATAAATGCGTGAAATGCGCGCTTTGTGGCAAAAGCCCTACAGCTAATTTCTTATGGTGTCCCCGAAACCCACGCAACTTTATTTCAAGTCCTCCTCTAAGGTACTAACAACTAAACTAACTAACTCTTAAGATACTAACTCTTAAGATACTAACAACTTGCAACCCAGAGTTCTCTCCCGACCTCACTCCAGACATATCCCAACATAACATTGCCATTCCTGCTACCCAACAACTCCTCAATGGATAGCAATGCAGATTTCTCAATGAACATCAACGCAGAAGTTATTTCTGCTCCCTGTATTGGCAATTTGGTGCACTGTAAGAGCCATCGCATATCATACATAGTTTTTAATCAATTCTTTGGTAGTCTTTAACGCATACTTTTTTAATCTGTCAGTGCAAATAACATACTCACTTGAAATACTTTTTTCTTATAATAACTGTTTTAAACCATTGGTATGATCAGAACTATACTAATGATGTCTGTCCTCTGTGCTCGTCGGGTGAAACCATGGACTTTTACATTTAACATGCACTGCACTTGATTTTATGACTTTTAAACTTTACCAAGCCTTCTAGAGTTCTCATAGTAGATATCGCTATAGTTTGATGTAGGAAAAAAAATGATCAGAACTATCTGCAAAGGATGTTCTTGGACGACCTTTCATGGGGAAGGGGAGTTCGCTCGTAACTAACAAATCAAATGGCTGAATTTAGCCTACTCTTACTTTTTTTAACAAATTTTTTTCTATTCTTTAAAATAATCCTATTTATTTTCAAATTAGAAAGTCAATTAGAAAGAGAGTCAATTTTTTACAGTTCATATCTACGAATCGATTTTTTTTTTTTTTTTTTTTTCTTTTCAATAAGATCCTTTAAAAAAATATTATTTTATCGTCAATTTGTTGTTGCCCTGACCGTTTCATTATGACAAAAATCTTCCTTACTCTCACATAACTCTGTTGCATCAGAATCTAAAAAATAAAGGAAGGAACGAAACAGTAGCGAATCCTGTAAAGTTTAAAAGGAAATCGATATCAATATAAAATTGATAATATCTAATAAAAGGAAAAATAAGAACAAGCTTTTATTCGACTGATTTATTAACTAAACATTATAGATAATATATATGCAAAAAATTCCAGGGTGTAATAGAGAGAAATTAACATTTTCTCTCCATTTTTGACAAAAAACTGATCATTTTAAATCACTAATAATTTATCATAATTTAATAAAATCCCTAATTCTAACCAAGTTCGAGGGGTGAAAAATATATGGAATTTCAAGAAGCAAACAAAAAAAAAAAGCATCCAAGTTTTGTTTTTCTACTTTCTGCCAACTTTTTCAAGCTTGCCCCCCCCCCTCCCGCTAGTGTATTTTAAGGAAACGTAATTTTCACAGGGAAAAAAAAAAAAAAAAGAAAAATCTAAGCAAATAAGCCTACTTCATCTAAGCAAACTGATTTACAAGACCAATATTTATTAAAATTTCTTTAAAACAGCCAATATAATTTTGGAAAAATGTAATTTGTATTGTTGAAAGCAAATGCAATATTTTTAGATTAAATGGTAAATAAAGACTATGGCGTAAACCCAATTCAGCCTTGCAAATCAAACATTTACTACCTACTGTAAAGCATGGAGGCTGCAACCAAATTTTTTGGTTCGGTTTGTCGCTCATCTTGTGACCACGAGGGCTCAACAGACCGGGACTATCAGTTTAAAGTGGATTCCAAACTACTCACAAACATTCACGCCGCAGGCAGGGTTCGAATCTTAAGCCTGTGATACCAAAAACCACTAGCCCGCCCCCACTGTGAGACGAGATTCCTAAGTCAACAGAACTGCAATCCTTCAAATGAGTGGTTCTGAAATTATTTTGGTTTCTCGACCCCCACCCCCTTCTTTCATATAAAAAATGTCGTCCAAAGATCCTGACTATTAATATGCATAAAAATATGAAAAGAATATTGTATGAAGTTTATATTTTGCTATTCAAATATAATAAACAATCTTAAAAAATATATATGTAAATAATCAAAAGTTCTAAAAATGGACTCTACTGCTTACAACATCATAAAAAAAGAAAAAAAGCAATTTTAATAATAAAAAAAAAAAAAGAAAAAAAAAAAAAAAAAGGAAAAAAAAAGGATAACTTTCAAGTGAAAATAAAAAAAAAAAAAAAAATTAACAGAGCCAATTTTCCAATTTTTTTTCTTTTAAGAAGTACTGATTTAAATCATTTGGGTCGAATTTCAGTAGTTTTTTTGTGATGAATTCCGTCCGATGATAAATGTTCCTGATGATGAAGTCATCTCGAGAATCGTAATGATATCTAATGATGATGGAATTGAAGCTTGTTAAGGATAGATCCAGAACAGGTCCGTTTTGCCGCTTTCTAATTACATTCATTACAAAATAACAGCCGTCTCCAGTTCTTTTAGCGCCTTTTTTCCCTATGCAGAGCCGAGCGAGTGTGAGGATTGGCGCCTTTCGTTTGTTTAATGGAACAACTATTCATTTCAAATTACTTTCAGCGCACTTTTTTGGGGGGAGAAGGAATGATTTTGATAAATGGCTGCTTTGTTTATATTTCAGATTAGTTTTGCTACGGCTGTCAACTCATGTTTTATGTTTCTTTAGATTCTGATAGTGGAGTTATTTATTTCTTAGATTTTTCCGATTTATAAGTCGTCTTTCGTCACTTGATTAATTTTACCTGAAGGCATTTTTAGTCTTTTCCTCACCCCCTAACTAGAGCTATGTAACTCCCCTACCTGTTAGAAAGGTGTGGGTGGAATATCAGTGGGTGTCATGCGTACCACTAACAGCCCACTGACTGGTAATGAGTAGAAGACAGTGCCTTCCGAGAGCAGTTTTAGGGTTTGATTTGGTTTGTCGTTCTTCGGTCATTTTGTGCACACTTTGGCCAAATCAGACCGGAACCTACAGTTTAACGTGGATTACGAACCACTCACAAACATCCATGCCAACACCAGGATTCGAACCTGAAGCCGATGGTACCAAAGGCCAGAGCTCTAGCCGTTTGGTCAGCAGGCCGCAGGAATTTTAGGGGAACTGCCTAAATTTGCATATTATATGGGAATAAATCCTTAAAACTCTCAGCAGGCAACCTGATTATCATTGCGAGATTCTTTACACATATTTTTACAATCACCATCGAGTCTCCTCGTTTCTGAAAGCAATGACTACAACAACGCCACCAGCGAATTCGAACTTCAGCCCTCCTGCACGCTAGCTGCGTATGTTGCCACTGAGCTGCGAGTCAAGAAATTTGTTATCTATCTTTTAAGTCAAGAATTTTGATTTATTTAATGGTTTAGAAAGATTATATATGTATTCATTCACACATTAGTTGCTTTATGTTTCACTTAAATAAAACCGAACAGCCTTCAGTAGAGATAGCTTGGTTTTCCAGAAATTTTTTGGGAGTAACTTCGAGTCATGATAAAATCCAGAAAAACTCCCGCCAAGTAGTCTGACGGTAAATGCGAAACACTGATATACGACCGTCGCCATCGAATCTCCTTATTTCTGACAGTAGGAATTGCAACAGGCATCGCCAACGAATACGTTTCCATATTTTATTATATTTGGAATATTGTCGGTCGCAAGAACAATTTGAGTGGTATTGCTACGACTGCTTTTTGTTATAATAAGTAATTAAATTCAACGTTCAAAAATTTAATTAACGTTAAAAATTGTCTACTCAATAAGCCTCATCTAGTAAAAAATTAAGCTTAAAAACAGTCCATTAACCCAATGTTAATATTAAAATAGTGCAATCTCTGAACTGAATAACAATTTTTTTTTGTCTTGTTCCCTTAAAAATTAATTAAAATTCACTGTTAATTTAATTAAAATTTACCATATAACCATTATTATTTACTATACAACCATTTTATTTACCTATTTGTAAATACATATAAATTTATTGTAATGAAAAATGGTTTGACTTTTTTTCGAAATTAATTTTAGGAGATACCTGAATGTTATTTATTATTCTCAAACTAAAAAAATTAAGAATTAATGTAATTATTTATCATTTAAAAAAATAAATTATGTAAAAAGTAGGTTCCACCGAAATTTGAACTCGGATCGCTGGATTCAAAGTCCAGAGTGCGAAAAAAAACCATTCCACCATGGAACCCAACTTCCCATGCCGGGAATCGAACCCGGGCCGCCTGGGTGAAAGCCAGGAATCCTAACCACTAGACCACATGGGAGATACAAAGCAATGAGGGTATGACGTTTATGAGAAAGCTCAGTGCGCTTTTATCTATATAAAGTAATATTTAATAATTTTTTTTTTAAATTAAAATATTTATTTTTGAAGTAGTTAAAAATGATAAAATTAATATACTGTAAAAATTAGTTTTAATACTTAAATTAAGAAATGGTACGATTTACTTGCATACAAATCGGATGTGTTAACCTAATTAAAAATAATGTCAATAATTAACAGATTTAATTAACATTTAGTGCCATTTTCCTCGAACTTTAAAAACAATTTAACATAAAAATATTTACTCAAATTATTAAAATCAATTAAAGTTTTGTTAAAATCTAATAAAATAAATACAACTCATGCTGCCATCTATTGGACAAAAATTTAGCGAGAAAATTCAATGAACTTATTTCTCAATTCTTTCTGAAATTCAGATGAAAGTAATAGGATTTCTTGTCAATATTTCTCAAAACACAGTTTACTCAAAATGTAACTTATCTCATTGATTAATAGCGAAATCTTGCTCTTTACGAAGAGAAATATCTTTATTCTGATATTAAAAATAAAAAGAAAAGATTAATATCTTTTATTAATTATGTCACTTAGTTTATGCTAAAAATATTAAAGCATGGCTTTAATATTACTAAGCATAAAATAAGTGACTTAATTAATAAAAAGTCGCAAAAAACTTCAAAAAATACATTTTACAACGAAAAATGGGTAAAAAATGGATACCTAACAGAGGTACATACATCTCTTATTATATCTAATGTTGCACGTCATGTTTTAAAAGAAAATCCGACCCCCACCCCACCCCATAGAACTATCTTAAAATATTTTACGTCTCGATCGCAACTATCAATAAAATTACAAAGCGTAAAATTTATAGCTGCAATTAAAATTACAAATTATTAAAATACAGGTCTAATGGAAGTGCCCAGGATAAACTCGGAAATAACTGATTGTCCCTAAATAATTTTTTATTAAGTTTCTAAAAGCTAATCGTCCCCATGTTGCGAATGTGTACTTGAAATGCTTCCAAAAGAAACTATTTGATATGCTGAAAGTAAATGATGTCAGCGAAGTTGTGATTCAATTTCTCTGGTGAACTTTTCATTTTGTTGGAGCAGAGAGCATGCGGGTCATAAAGCCAAATGAGATCCCTTTGTGTACATAGTACAAAGTAGGAAAGAATAGTGTTGGATGCGATTTCACCTTACATTTGTCTAGAAAAAAATTGACTTTTTTAAATAGAAGTTTGCAATCTGCCCACAAATACGCACACCATTCTCGTAAATCAAAGCTTTTGTTTCCATTCATTTTACTTATATGTAACATCGAAACTCTTATACATGTTTCGTGTACGACTGCTGATATATGATAAACATTACAACATTTTGCAACCTTTTTTTTTTTCTATTTTGACCAGTCTTGATCAAACAATCCATTTTACTCGATAGCAATTACAATTTTTTTTTTTCCAGTAATGTGCATGCATAGCTTAGAAAAGCTTATTTTTTGAACAGATTTTAGAATCACAAGTTTAGAAAGAACACATTTTAATATCATAAGTATTAAGATAATTAATCATTTCGTTCTTCACTGTTACAAAATGCATAAAAGTAATAAAGAGAGTTAGTTTTATTCGATAGCAATTTCTTTTTATCCCCAGTATTAATGTTTAGCTTAGAAGAGCTTATTTTTGAACAGCTATTACATTTGTGACTACTCGGTGATCTCATTTTTTAAGGAATTGTCCATCATTTTATATATTATTTATATATTGTTTCAGAAACACGAACTCCCGCGTTAAATTTGCTGTTGTCACTAATCCCCCCGGTGCAGGAAAATCTTCACCCATCCAAAAGACCCCGTCGCAGGCGACTGGTCCATGGCTGCGGGTAACATGCAGCTTCACTTTCGCGAGGTACCACGAAGACTGTAGACTAACTAAATCTCAAGACAACGCTCTACGATCATAATAGACCGGGGCCTACGGTTTAAAGTGGACTTCGAACTGCAACAAACATCCATAACACCGCCGGTGATCGAACTCGAAGCCTATGGCACCGAGCGGTAGACACTCGACCATTCAGGCCCAAAATATTCCACTTGGTAGACATCTGGACCAAGCCCACGAACCCGTATGGACTCATGGTTGAAGGGAAAAGCTTCTGTTGTGATCTTCTGGAAGTCTGACTTGACTCCGTGACGTTCTATACACTCAAATGAGACAGAGACCTACGCCTTGAAGTGGATTCCGAACCACTACAAACATGTATGGCACCGCTGGGACTCGAACTCGAAACCTGTGGTACCGAGCTCCAGAGTGCATCCTATCTTAAATTCCTTTATTCCCTTTGGAAATAAGCTTTCTTGTTTAAAATTTATTTTGATCTTTTTAAATTTTACTCATTTATGTTTTTAATCACTAATCAAAATTCCGATGTAGAGGTATTTGTGAGGATAGCACCTTTTACCACAAAAGACCTTCGCAATTTGTATTTCCGTTTCTCCTCTAATCTTTAATACTGTTAACTAATAGCATAATGAAAACTGATCCATTAAATTCTAAAGTTTTTGCTGCTTTCTATTAAGTGCAGTTTTACTTCAGAAATTCACAATTCGGTTATATATAACTAATGTTGACTCCTTCTGCTTTCCGGACGTATTCACACCAAATACAGGGCTGAAAAATGTTAGAAAAAGGTCAATATTATGGATCTATTTCGTTTTATTAATGTATTTATTGTCAAATTTCGGACATTAATAATTGGTAGTTCAAATATTTTGTCTTTGCAACTATTTGCTTATCTTGGTATTTATATAAGTTAAGTGATAATAGACGCACTAAATTTATTTATTGCTAGTAAATACAAATAAAATACTTCTATTAATTCCTTCACAGTGAAATAATTGTTGTTGTCCTTCACAATGAAATAATTGTTCATATTTATTTTCCGCTCTGTAATTCTTTTGAATGTTTGAAAATTCATTAGAATGTTGCCATTATTATTATTATTATTATTTACGTTTCTTACAATTATGTTGTTGTTCTAATGCAGCTGGCAATACAGACAGTTAATCTTTATGCCATAAGCAAGGCCTGCACCGCTGTTACTCATTGAGCACTACCCAAGGGGCATGTGTAGCTTGAAGATAGGCTATTGACGCGAGTAACACTACTCCCATTTCTTACAATTATCATTTAAAAATTTCGTGCAGTCCGACTACTGCACGTGTGAAAAATTGGCAAGCGGCCAAAACAGGCGGGTTCGAAAAGAATGGCACCATAGAAAAGGAAATGTCGTTACTTACAAAAAAAAAAGAATTATTTTTTTTTTAAGAATTCAAATTTCAAATCACATGATATTAAAAGAAAAAATTCCACGCTAACTATTATACTTTTATCTATGAAAGCAGCTTTGCACCGCGTATGTCTGACTAGCATTTCTAAAGGCCCGTCTAAACGAGAACCCGCAAACAGCGAGTGGCTTTCGCTCCGAACGTCTACCCACGTTATCTCTGGCTGTGAGATGTCGCAAATGGGGAACTTTTGATGTGCGGAAAAACCGACTGTCTGACTCAGACAGCTCGAAACACATGATTTTCTATCAAACCGGTTTTTAATGGGTTTGCGAGATCCATTCGGTTCACAGGCACTCTCATCTGGACGGGGATTAACAAGTAATCGATTCTGTTATTAAACCGGATGTTTACAATTCCACACAATCCGAGGGTGGATTATATAAGAAAAGCTGTGGATGATGAAATGTTTTTATGAATGCAGACAATATGCTAATGAGCACGCGAATGGGAAAAAAAAAGCGAGGAGGAGGGGACGAAACATTGAAAATGGTTTCCTGGAGGCCAAATGAAGAATTCACTAGCAAATAGAAAGAACACAAAGGGATGGAAATTAAAAAAAAAAATTGTGCTCTTTTAAAACAGATTGATTAAAATTTCTTTAAAAGTTTTCATACTTTTGTATTCATATTTATTTTTTTCTATTTACTTTTGTATTAAATTCATTATTATTAAATTAGCAATTTTTATACTTTTCTATTTCAAATTTAGGGGCCTGATGGCGGTTCGGTATCACAGGTTTCGGGTTCGAGTCCCGGTGGTGCCATGAATGTTCGTAGTGGTTCGGAATCCACTTTAAATCGTAGGTCCCGGTCTAATAGGATCTTAGAGAGTTGAGGGGTAATGTTACTCGCGTCCGTATCATATCTTCAAGCTACACGTGCATACACGTGCTACATGGCATAAACATATTTGTCAAAGTATTTGCCAGCTGTATTAGAAAAAAAAAATAATTCAAATCTATTTTATTTATTTACGTTCGTATTAAATTTATTATTATTAATTTAATTTTATAATATTTAATAATATTTTTTATACTTTTGTATTTTTAATATTTTAAAACTGGGCCTGAATGGCCGAGTGACTAGCGCTCAGACGCTCGGTACCACAGGTTTCGGGTTCGAGTCCCGGTGGTGCCATGGTTGTTTGTAGTGGTTCGGAATCCACTTTAAAAGTAGGGCCCGGTCTAATAGGATCGTAGAGCGTTGCGGGGGCATTGTTACTCCGCGTCCGTGGCTTATCTTCAAGTTACACGCGCTCCCTGGGTTATGCAAAGTGAGTACGTCTGTGCAGCACTTGCCTTAAGGCATCCAAGACGTCCATGTCTGTGTTTGCCAGCTGCATTAGAAAGAAAAAAAAAAATATTTTAAACCTGTGGTGATGGTCAAACACTTTGTCAGTTTAAAATATCAGTCTGAGATGCACAAACGAACTTTATTGGTACATGATCTGTTTATGCGATATATAAGTGATATACGAGGCCCACCGGCGTTTAATAAAATGAAGAAAATTGGTACAGGATATCAGGGTACTACTGTGCCAAAAAGTAACACCAA